ACGTAGATTCTTATCTCGTCTATACTTTTCCTTTTACTTATTGTTCTTACCATTTTCTAGATACGTAGATTCTTATCTCGTCTATACTTTTCCTTTTACTTATTGTTCTTACCATTTTCTAGATACGTAGATTCTTATCTCGTCTATACTTTTCCTTTTACTTATTGTTCTTACCATTTTCTAGATACGTAGATTCTTATCTCGTCTATACTTTTCCTTTTACTTATTGTTCTTACCATTTTCTAGATACGTAGATTCTTATCTCGTCTATACTTTTCCTTTTACTTATTGTTCTTACCATTTTCTAGATACGTAGATTCTTATCTCGTCTATACTTTTCCTTTTACTTATTGTTCTTACCATTTTCTAGATACGTAGATTCTTATCTCGTCTATACTTTTCCTTTTACTTATTGTTCTTACCATTTTCTAGATACGTAGATTCTTATCTCGTCTATACTTTTCCTTTTACTTATTGTTCTTACCATTTTCTAGATACGTAGATTCTTATCTCGTCTATACTTTTCCTTTTACTTATTGTTCTTACCATTTTCTAGATACGTAGATTCTTATCTCGTCTATACTTTTCCTTTTACTTATTGTTCTTACCATTTTCTAGATACGTAGATTCTTATCTCGTCTATACTTTTCCTTTTACTTATTGTTCTTACCATTTTCTAGATACGTAGATTCTTATCTCGTCTATACTTTTCCTTTTACTTATTGTTCTTACCATTTTCTAGATACGTAGATTCTTATCTCGTCTATACTTTTCCTTTTACTTATTGTTCTTACCATTTTCTAGATACGTAGATTCTTATCTCGTCTATACTTTTCCTTTTACTTATTGTTCTTACCATTTTCTAGATACGTAGATTCTTATCTCGTCTATACTTTTCCTTTTACTTATTGTTCTTACCATTTTTTAGATACGTAGACACCTGGGTCGACCGACGTCGCCTGTCCTTCATTATTATTGTATTTACTATTCGGATAAACGTCATATTATTCTATTCTTGTATTATTCTGTTTGTCACTAGGTAAGACCGCTACCCTAGGGCATAACAGATTCTTATCTCGTCTATACTTTTCCTTTTACTTATGTGATTATTGTACTTGTCTGAAGTGATTTTCTTACTATTTTATTATTGTATTTATCTTACTTTTAAATTTTTCTTTTTTTATTCTTGATATGTCTCTAATTAGTTAAAAACAATAAATAAATATATTTACTTAGATCAACTCAAATTTCATTTTTTCTTTTATTTCTTATTTAAAGTATCTAAAGCAATTTATTAAATGCCAAAAGACCTTTTAAAAAGAAGGTGGAAAGATAAAATAAATGAGAAAATTCGAGACTTTCAGAAATATATTTTATTTTAAAATTTATTTAATTGGTTGTAATTTACTAATTTTTGATAAAAATATTTAAAATTATTTGAATATTTCTAAATAAATAAAGGATACTTTCATGAGTTATTTATAACTCAAAAACTCATATAAAAATTTTTTAAATAAATTAGTAATTGGCCACAGAAAGTGAAATTGAGTAATTTTTGGAATTAAAAAGAGGATGTCCTCCGCATCATTATTCACCTACACATTTCAATACATTAACTTCTATATAAAATTCTTTACACATAAGAGACCAAACGTAGTTTGTAGTAAATTTTATGGGCTTTCAATTTAGTCTAAAATTTTTTATTTAAGTTTGAGATTTTTCGTTTATATTTCTATTCTTGAATTATGTTATTTAATAAAATTATTTAATCAAAAATAAATTTAGACACCTCTTTTATTCTAAATTTTATTTAAAATTAATTAAATAAATACACATTCTTTTACGTATTTTTGACATCACTATACTACATAATTTGCATAAAATTATTATTATATTTTTAGCGAAAATAATATATTAACACAAAAACAAAAAACAAAGAAAAATATGTGTATGTATATTATTCTTTTGCTGTTTTTTATATTATTATTAGTTACTATTTTAGGAGTATATTAAAATATAAAAGTGCTTATTAATTAAATAATGTATGTACATAAATATTTTTTTATTAAATTATAATATAAAAAATAATAATTTTTTTAATTAAAAAAATTTTAAATTAAAAAGGATTTAAATTTTATTTATTTTTTAAAGGGTTTATTTTAATTTTAGAAAAAAAAAGTTTTTCAATTGTTTTGCTACAACAATTTTATTTCTTTTTGTTAAAGTAAAGAAAATAAATAATTTTTTTTGCAAAATTTTTTGGATTATTTTAATATTTACGTAATTGTAGTTATTGTGCTACCAAAAATTTTTTTCTTAATTTTTAATTTCGAGTTTTGACGCATTTTTACTTTTTTAAATGTCAAAAAGATTTAAAAAATATTTTTTGTATTATTTTTGTTCTAGTTTTTAATTTTCTGTGGATTTACTGATATACTTTGAAAATATTAAAAAGAACCTGAAATTAAAAACTCATTTTAAGGGATTTAAAAATGATTGAATTTCGTTACAAATTGCAAAAAGATATTAAGTAAAAATTAAATAAAAGATATAAAAGTTTACAGTATAAAAAATTACCTATTTTTTTATTTTAGTGAATAGAATACTTACTAAAATAATCAAAAATAATTTTTTCTGTTCTTAATTTTAAGGTAAATTTGAGAAACTGAATAATTACATAAATAAATAGTTTAATATTTCAATCAGAAAATTAATATATCCAAATTAATCATCATTAAAATAAAATTTGAAATTCGAGAACTTGAATCGAACTTAAATAAAGCTTCATAGCTTTTGAGTCACATATGGCAATTATAAACTAAAACTTTAATGTTTAATTACAATCACAAATTAAATATAATGATTCTGAAGTTCTGTTGACCGAACCTTCTATTGTTTGTTATCCACTCATGCATAGCCTCGGAAATTATATAGCCATATGCTTTACAATATCTTTGTACTTTTATTTATTTATTCATTTATATTTGTGCTCTAATGAGAGTACAATAAAACATAAAACACAGAAAAAAAAACGAAAATCATCTTCTAAATTATTGTATCTTTATTGTACCAAAAAGATTTTTTAATTCTAAATAATTAAAGATTAAATTACAAAATTAAATTCATAAATAATTAAATAATTAATTATTTGGAAATTTAAAGGTTTCTTCTTTAATTGAAATTATTCAATAAATAAAATGTCTTTAATTTTATTTTAATTTTATTACCCTCTTCTAAATAAATAATTTTAATTAAAAAATAAATTAATCGGATTTCCGCCTCCACAGATTTAATATTTAATCTTATAAAATTAAAAAATAAATAATTTTTTTGTCTGAAAATTAATGCAAAAGTTTTTTAATTTAAATTTAATTTTCCTTTTAATTTTTCCATTTAAAAATTAAATTATAAAGTCTTCAATATTTATTATTTGTAATTTTAAAAAATAATTTATGTACTTTTCGTAAATTGCTTTTAAAAAGTTTAATAAAAATTTAAAAAAATTTTGAATAAATAAATATACCTTTTTAATAGTTTGGACACAAACGGTTAAAAGAACCGAAACCGAAAACCGGGGCCTAAAACCGGCGATAACCAAAAACTGGGAGTACCGGTTACTTTTACTACATACTTTTAACTTTAACCCTACTTTTAAAAATAAAAATTATGATCTTAAATTTAAAAAAATATAAAAATAAAATTAAATGATTTTTTGACCTGAAATTAGAAAATGGTTTAAAAATAATTTTTTTGATTAAATTTAAAAAATAAATTTATTTTTAGATTTTTGTCATTTTTTGAATTTAAACAAATTTAAAATTTATTTAAATTTTTACATTTTTAAATAAAAATTAATTTAATGAAAATAATTAAATTTATTTTATTTCCAAAAAAAATTAAATAAATGAAAATTAATTTTTTGATCTTTAATTTTTAAAAATAAATGTCAAATAAGAATAATTTAAAACAATAAATTAAATTTAAAAATAAATTTAAATAAAATATTTTTCTGGTTTTGTAAATTTCTACAAAAATATTAAAATCAAAAAATCAAAAGCTCAAACAACAAAATTGTTTTTTGTTTAAAACTTTTGTTTTTCTCCAAAAATTAAAACAAACAAAACTTTAAATTTCAAGAAAAAATAAATTTAAATGAATTTTTTGTAACAAAAACAAATAAAAAAATTTATTTATTTAATTCTAAATATAGAGTAAAATTTAAAAATAATAACAAATTATTTTTATTTATTTACGTATTTATTTTAATTTTTACCAAAAAATTAATTTATTTTAATTTTATTGTCCAATTTTATGTCCATTTTTGACATAATATCTCTACTACATTACATTTTAATTTTTAAAAAAGGGGCGGGGCTAACTTAGAAAAGGAGTGTCTTTCCCTTTCTTGTTTCTTTTCTTGGCCTTAAAATACTTTTATATATAAAGTGGATATATTAGCTTTGCCATTATTTTCACTTTAATTTTATTTTCAAGAAAAAATTTAAAAGTCTGTTAATTATCTTTTAAAAAAATTATTTGAGAATTTTACTGGAAAATTAAAATTTTATTAAATAATCAGATTTTCAATATCCCTAGGCATTCAAAAAATTTTCCTCTCAAAATTTAAATTTAACCTACCTATATTTATTACCAAAAATTCTTTCAAAATTATCTTCTCCTATTAATTTATTAATTTTATTACCCAACCTTTTTGAATATTTTTATTCCCAAAAATGTTCAAAAATCAGTTCCAAACATAATTTTATTTGACAAAAGCACCCAAACTTTACATTTCGTTATTTTTTATTTAATAAAAGAAATTCTCATACTTTTTTTTATAAATTTATTTTCTAGAAAATAAAAAAAGTCTGTTCCGAACCAAAAATTTTTTATTAATTGAGGAAATACATAAAATATAATTTTCTTCAAAATTCAAAAATAAATTTTATTTCTTCTTTCTTCTTACTTTATTAAATCAAATAAAAGTAAAATAAAAGAAAGCAATGTCTAACAACAAAAATTCCAAATTTTCTTCTTCTGTGCCTTGTTCATCTTCTTCCTCTTCAAAAACAACATTTTCTTTTTCTTCTCTTTCTTCTTCATCATCCCCAAAATGTTCTTCTTCTCCATCAAAATCTTCAAAAGCCTCCATTGCCTCTTCAAATTTATTTTCTAAAAATCTTCGATTGTTATTTTTGTTTTTAATTTTTTGCTTAATTCAACAAAATTCTGAAGCTTTTCTTTTGTCACACAGAAATTTGGTTTGTTTTTAAAAAATTATTTTTTGAGTTAAAAAATTAGTTAAGGTATTTAGGGTGTCGAAAAAGTAGGGGAATTTGCAACCCTTTTATTCATATATATTTTTTTAAATTTATCTTTTTCTTGTATCAAAAATAGTCACGCAATACCTAAAAATAATAAAAAAAATTATTTTTTATAATTACGCAAATATTTGCGTATAATAAAATAATAAATAAAAAAATAACTTTTTTTGGAAGAAAAATGAAAGTTAACAACTAATTGTTTATTGTTTTTATGGGTTTAAGGAGAAAATAAAAAATTTTTAGAAATTTTTAAGGGTTCCTGAATTTTCAGAATTTAATTTTTTAGTTATTAATTTTAGTTGGGTTTTGTGCCTTAATTTAATAAAAAATAATTATGTAACAATAAAATTCAATTTCTTTCCAAATTTATTTTCGTTCCAATAAAAATATGACAAATCTAATAAAATCTAAATTAAGCTTTAGAGATTAACAATAAAATATAAATTTAAAAAAGGTAACAAATAATTACTAAATATGGAAAATTAAATTTAATTTAAGCTAATTTTGTGTATTTATAAACTAGAGTAGGACACAACTGGTTATTAACAGGTACCCCCGGTTTTCGCTTTTGGCCGAAGTAGGACCCCCGGTTTTCGGTGTCGGTTCGGTTAACCGTTTGTGTCCTACCCTAGTATAAACCTTGATTATACTACTAATAATGTTACAATCAGGCTTCTTATTGTAAATATACCCTTAAAGGACAACCTAAATCGAGGGACTTTTAAAAATTATATTTACAATAATATTGTGGGGATGTATGTACAATAGAAGTCCGGCTGTGTTCATTTTTATTCAAAAAACAATAACAACCATTAAGTTTGGCATTTACCTTTGAAAATAACAAAAATAGGAATAGCAAAATTTTTGCAAAAATATAATAACATTAATAAATAAAAATAAATAAATTATAGAAAATTAATATTCTTTTTTGAATTTGGAAATTATTAATTTCAAAAAAAAAATCTTATAAGGACCTATTCTTCAAATATTTTTAAAATTCCCTACAATTTTTAAAATCTCTTTTTTCTGATTCTTCGAGACTTTGATAATCTTTTTTTCTAAATATTTTAATTTTTCTATTAACAAACATTATCTCTAATTTTATGATTTAAATTAATTTCTTGTGTTTAAATTCGAGGACAATTATTTTTACATAAATAGACTATTTAAATATATTTAATAATTTATTTACGTAGAAAAATAATTAAAAAATTAATTAAACCCCAAAAATAAACAGACCGGAAAATCGCTGTAAAAATTAAATTTTTAAACTATTAAAGGGTACAAAAATGGAAAAAAATAAATGGAAATAAAATTTTTATACAAAAAAAGAGGAAGTCTTTTTAATTAACCTTTTTTGAAAATATTTTTTTTAATTTTAATTTTTTTGTTCACACTCCCACATATTTTTTTTTATTTTTTTATTTTTTATTTCTAAACTTTGTCTAAAAATTATTTTTTTTGTTTAAATATTTAATTAATTTAGTGGGAAGTTAATTTTGAAAAAAATAATAAAAAGTAAAATAATTATTCTTTTTTTTTTTGCTTGTTTTAATTCTTCCTAGCTAGTTAGTTAATTAAATAAATTATTTTTATTTTTCAATTTTCTACTAAATTTTATATTTATTTTTCATTTCTCTTCTTTGTCTCCGAAAAAATTAATTTAAAAAATTATATTAATTAATCAGATATTTATTTATTTTTAATATTATTCTCTCAAAGAATAGCCAATACATATGTATGTATATAAATATTAATTTTTATTTAAATTGTACTTAAAATATTTTTAAAAAACATTTAAACGGCAAATAAACAAAGAAAAAAGAAGAAAAATATTATTCTAAAAATTCTTTTAAAAATAATACATATTAATCCTCCTATTTCCGATATTTTTATTTTTTTTTAATTCCCAAAAATTAATATTTTTTCCTCATTTCCGGTTGTTTATTTATTTAATTTACTAAAAATAAAAAAAATTAAAATAGGGGAAAAGCCCCCCCCCCCCATCCTCCTCCTCTCTTTTGTTTTCTATTTTTGGCAGCCTTTTCTTTTAATTGTTTTTATTTTTAATTAAATTAATTTTTAATTAAAAAAATAATAATATTTTTTACAAAAAAATTTTTTCTTTTTATTCTTCTCTTAAATTTCTTAAATAATAATAATTTTTATTTTTTAAATATTTTTGTAGCAATTTGATTCTTTTGTTTTTTATGAAATCATTTTGGAAGTAAAAAATAACAAAAAAATATTTTTCATAAAAACAAATTAACTGATACTTTATGTCATTTTAATTTGAAAAAAATATTTTTTTTCAGGAAAATAAATACAAGACTTTTCATAATTCCCTTTAATTCCCCCCCCCCCCCCCCCCCCCCTTACTCCTTCACAGAAAAATGATATAAATTAATAATTTTTTGAAAAGGTTAAGAAGGGATTAAAAGTAGGTGGATATACTACATAGTTAATGATGTGTTTTTTTAATGATTTTTAAAGAAATGTTAAAAAAATTTTAATAAAATCATTTTACAAAAAAGGAAAGAAATTAAAAAATTAATTTTTTATTTTAAATGAAAGGCTTTATTTTTAAAAGGATTTTATGTTAAAAATTAGTTCTTGTTAATCTAAAAAATTTTTTTGGGTTATAGCTTCTTTGTAAATTTGGGAGATATTAATTAAATAATTAAATATATAATTAATTCTCTTACCTTTTTTAAATTTCTAACTCTAAAAAAATATTTTCAATAAAAAATATACAAAAATCTATTTCCTTTTATCTATTTTTTAATATTTAAAAATGTCGGAACATTTAAAAATTAATAAAAAGTTGCGCACTTTTGTGTTATATAATTTACGTAAAATACTTCTGTTATTTTTTAAATAATAACACAAATAATGGGAAAAATAAAGAAAAAATAATTAAAAAAAATTATTCTATTTGACGCAATTTATACTTAAATAATAATTAGTACAAATAAAAAAATTTGTTTTATGATGATAGAAAAGGATTAGTTCAATATTTTTTAGGTTTTTAAATGTTATACAAGATTATAAAAATTTTTAATTCTTATTGAAATTAAAAAAAATTAATAAAAAAAATTTCGAAAACCAGGAGCAGGCCAAAGTACCGCAGAGCTATAACTTTGTTCAAAATGGCCGAATCTGGGACGCCTTGGTATGGTCTCGACGAGCTGAATCGAACCATATTAGCGCGTCCCGGATTCGACCATTTTGAACGAAGTTATAGCTCTGCGGTACGTTGGCCTCGTACTACGTGGGGTCTGCCCCAAAAATCTGTGGAAATAAATTTGGTAAAAATATTCTAAATACTACTAGTAAACCCTCTTTATCCTTTAAATATCTATGAGATGGGAAAACTAGAAAAAAATATTAGTTAGTTAGATAGTTTTGAATAAACTTTAAATTAAAATAATTTAATTTAATTAATTTCAGTTTGTGCCATTTGCTTCATCCAAAGGTGCAAAAACAGTATTATCAACAGTTATTAATCAAGTAAAAGAAAATAATCAAAAGAAAAATGAAGAAGAAGAAAATAGTTTATTATTTTCTGAACAACAAAAAAGTGGTGGACATCAACCAGTCCGTCTTTTAGGATTTATGGCACTTCCAGAAGAGGCAGTCAAAGCTTTACAAAATCAACTTTTATTTTCTTCTAAAAATCAAAAATCTTCTTTTACACATTCTCGACGTAAAAGAATGCATCATTTAAGCATTTTACGAAAAATTGGAACTCCACATGGACAATTATTGTTGGGAGGGGGAAATGGAAGGCTTTTTGGTCCACAAAAGGAAACGAGGGAATTAAAGAGGACAGAGCCTCTTTTTCTTGTTAATTACTAAATAATAAAGAAAATATGAAGAAAAAATGATAATAAATAAATAATATATTTCTGTTAAATAAAAATTGTGTTTATATAATAAATTGATCTCGAAATGGTTCATAAAGTGAATAAAATTAAATAAAAATTGAAATTTTTATTTGGGAAATTATAAGTAAATGAATGTGCAGAGAATTTAATTGCAGAGAATTTAGAGAATTTTTTTCAAAATTCGAATTTATGAGAATTACACATTCAGAGTTGAGTTGTCAACAAATATTTATAACTTCGAGAAACAAAATCTACATACATAGCAATAAAAATCCTTAACCCTAATTTTTACTCTTAAAATTGTGTAAATTATGTTCAAAAATATAAGTTATTTCTTTTAAAAGCTAATCTCATGTTGATAGAATGTTTAAATAAATTGCTTAAGTCAGAATTTAAATATCTGATTAAAACATATTTATGGCACAATTAATTATACATACATACAATAATTTACAGAAATAATTAATGAAACACGATATTTATATTATCCCCTACAACAATAATATTATTTACAACCCTACATACATACAAATTTATCAACATTTTCTTTTTTATCTTCTTCCTTTCATTTCTTTTCCGGCGTATTAGAAGGCTCGTTAGATTCTTTTTTCTTCTTCTCATCCTCTCCCGGCTTTGCCTCCTCTTTTGCCTTGTCCTTTGATTCTTCTTTGGACTCTTCCTTCTTCTCATCGGTTTTACCATCCTTTGAACCCTCAGCCCGTTTTTCATTCGAAGCCGATTTAGCTGCTTTGTATTGTTCAATACTATCAACAGGAATTACTGGACTACCCCCTTCGTTGTCGCTTGCAGCCGTAGAAGTCCCATTGACAACCTCGCCGGGACTTGGTTCGTAGAGGCTTACTTGTCCAGCACGTGCCTGCATAGCAACTGCATATTCGTTTTCGTAGTGCTAGTAATTTTTAATTATTTTTTTTGTTACAAAATTATTGTTTCTCACCTCACGCCTCCAAGCAGCAAAGTCCTTCTTCGCCCCGCCTCCAATTTCGCCAACAGCATTCGGGCCGGGATCAGCAGTAATACGAGTAACCTTTGTCGGCTGGTTCGAAACGCTTGGAGTTGGCGGATCTGGCTAGATTTTTTACAAATTTAAGTAAACTAAAGGGCATGTTACTTTAAATTGACGAGCCAAATCGGTGTTTCTCCGCGGCTGGTATGTCTCTAGAATGTTCCTCACATCAAAGTAGGCCCTCTTGCGACGAGTCAAGGCATCAGAGAAGTAGGTGACCCACTGAAAATTTTTAAGAAAATTGTTATTTTATTCTGTTTTTGTGTGCTTGCCTCATATCCAAAGAAAGCCAAGAACAAAGCCATAGGCAGGACTGCCAGTCGAACGATGAAGAACTCAGAAGTGGCCAATGCCTGAAGGATGCAAACAGCAAAGATCATGGTAGCCAAAGCGAGCACTGCAACCTCGAACCGATATTTACTGAAAAGTGGGCAAATTACGGTATAAAACAAACACAAAATTCAAAACAAAATGAAAAGCTTTACCCCTTCGTCTTTGATTCATCTTCAGGCGAACGTGGAGGAGAACCAGATGGCGCAGGAACCTGTTCGCTAGATGAAGACATTTTGAACGTGGAGTTTGCTTGTTGAGATGGCGAAACAATTATGGCAGGACGACTGTAGAGAATTTGATAAGGTGATAATTTTTCTGGGGTGTTTATATAGACGGGGCTTCAGATATGATGTGATAGGTCTGGAAAATATAATATAAAAGCTACGATAATCTCATGAGTTTATCGTATCCAGTCTACAACTTGGCACAATTGCTTTGATCGACTACTTGGCTGCTTCACGTGGACTTCTACGCTGTTCAACATCAACTTCTGCGACGACAAAAGATGGCCGCAAGTGTAAGTTTTGCTTACTATCCCCTTTCTGTCTTTTTAATCTTTTCTGATTTTTTTCTTTACAGAAAGGGCGATCTGGCAGGAACAAACAAAGCAAACAAAAGTACGACACTGAAGGTGGCAGGCGTCAGAGTTCAGTCCTCAAGCGACCGAGTGCACGTGCAACTGTTGATCGTCCGTCTCGTGGTGGTTCCGGTGGTGGTTCTGGCGATCCTCGTAGGCCCTCTACTCAATCAACAGGATCAACAATCTCGCAGCATGCTACAGCAGCCCAACGCTGGTTTTACTGTGAGTTTTTTGATTTTATCTTGCGCTCTTTTCTTTCGCTCGCATACATACATATAATAATTTTCTAAATTACTACAGCTCTAGTGCGACATGGCGGCATCAGGCGCATACGGGAAAAATTCGTCAACGATCTCGCAACCTACAGGTCAAAGCGCGTAACAACCAAGGCCTTTGATGATGAGAGAAACGCTGATCTCAACCGGTATCCAGATGTGGCACTAATCGACCAAACAAGGGTTGTCCTTAGAGATGGGCCTGAAGGTGCCAACGCTCTTCCTAAAAATAAAACAATTTTCATTTTTCTAGGTAGCGACTACGTGCACGCGTCAAAGGTGAAGGGCTCCGAGTTTCCGATGATTTGTGCTCAGGGTCCGATCGACGAATCAATTGCCAACTTCTGGACGATGGTTGTGGAGCAGAATTGCGGGGTGGGTTATTCGAATTAACCAGTTTCCTTTATGAAGCTTTTCCCCATTTTATTTAAGGTCATCGTCCAGCTTTGTCAAAATCAAGAGGAAGGCCGTGAGAAGTGTGCAGACTACATCCCTGCAGAACCAACGCTGTATGGGAACGCGACCGTATCTGTCAAGGAGTCAACCCATGCTACCGTAGCCAACCCAAGCGTTCACAGGACAGTTATCGATGCGTCACTTCCGAGCGGTCGGAGCGTTGAGGTCGTGCACTTTCTCTACGATGGATGGCCGGACCGCGATGTACCACTATCACCAGCAGCGTTTCGTCAGCTTCGCGGGACGGTCCAAAAGTTGGCAGTAACACGAAAATGCTCGGTGCTTATCCACTGCAGTGCTGGAATTGGTCAGTTTTAAGGATTTGGGAGATTAAAATTTTTGGTGTTTTTCCCTTTACAGGTCGTACGGGGACATATGCAGCGATCGAGATGGCCTACAGGGACCTGATTGCCAACGACCGAGAAGTGCAAATGTCTACAATATTCCAGCGACTGCGCGACCAGAGGGCCCATGCAATCCAGACTGATTTGCAGGTGCCTTTTAAATCTGAAAAGCTCCCTTGCTTTACCAAAAATTTTTTTTACTTTTCAGTACCTCTTTCTCCACCGTGCGCTCATTGACATTGCTTTGGAAAAAGGCCGACTGAACCGGGTAGACAAAGCGGGAGGCGTCGACGCGTTCATCAAAGAATACGAGGAACTGATCAAGAGGAAAAGAGAGGAGCGCAAAGAACTGGAACGGAAGCACAAGAGAAGACGTGGATGAGATTAGTGATTGATATATATGTACATATACTAGGCATTGTTCTTTGTCCCTTATATTCACATATATCTTGTGCCCGTCTGATTTTTTTCCTCACAATTGTTGTATTGCCTGATTATTTTTTGTAATGATTTTGTATGTATTTTACTTGATGCTTTTTTTCACTGAATAAATAAATTTGTAAAAATGCTTGTGTTCTTTAATTGTTGTTTTTTAGGGTTGAGTTTTTTAATAAGTGAGAATTTTCAGTTTCTTTGTGTTAGATGTTCAATCTGGTTGGCATTATTTCCTTCGATCACGTTTTGACGTTTTTGTCCTGCCATTTTCGTCTAGATTTAATTTTTATTTTCTCTTAAGCCTATTTGACTTATTATGATGGCATTTTTGTCCAAACATAAATTATATCGTTCATTCAGTTTCCAACAAAAATTTGGAGTTATAAGTAAACTTAAAATAAAATTGAAAACTCTAGAGATATAAGAAGGTTTTGCCCAACTCTAGAAGAGACGGGACCGGTCTAGAATCTGGTCTAGAATCCCCATTTTCTTCAGATTTTGTTTCACAGGTTTTAATCTGATACCATCGAGGTTTTAATCTGATTATTATGCCATTTTTGTCCAAATATATAAAGTTCATCGTTAATTCCTTTTCCAACAAAAAATTTGGAATTAAACCTAAAATTAGATTGGCATTTTATGTAGAGATTAAGCTTTAGTAATAAACTTGTTTTTAATATTTTTATTTTTGTTTACTATTAATTTTATTTTTTAACAAAATAAACGTCAACGGATTAATTTCCTTTTCTTTGGAAGTAATATACCTTTAAGTAAACTTGCTACGTAATTATACGTTTATTTTTAAATATTCTTTAGGAAAATAATTTCCTGTTGAAATGACGTTATTGTTACATCCAATTAAATGTTTTGCCTTTTGTCTCTCCTAAATTTTGAAATAAAATAATTGAATTGATTAACACATTTTTGGTAATTATAGTATCTTTAATTTTGTTAACATGTCGATTTTATTATTAAAATTATTATTGTAAATTTTTTCCCTAATTTTTGAACATAAAAGAGCTTTTTTTAAATATTGCTTGAGTTTAATTAAAGTATGGAAATAATAAAAAAAATTAATTTTAAAAATTAAAAAACTATAGTAAAGCTAAACTTGGCTTCCTTGGCTCTGGCATCTTCATATGACCAGAATAATTAGTTATTTTAATTAAAATCTAGGGTTGTTCGAGACCGGTTTATTCCTCGTTTTTTCTTCCCTGTGACGGACTTTTCCCTCCTCTCTTCTCTTTTTGACCTGCCACAGGGGTCAAAAAGTCTCGTTTTAAACGGTCTCGAACAACCCTATTAAAATCTATATTTATTTAAAAAAACATTTATCATTTTGATTGACATATTTCTTAATAGTTAAAAGTTTTTGTAGAAATTTTGTTGCATCCTTTCCTTATAAAATTAATAAAAAGTTTACGTGTCCTTTTATTTTTTAAAGTTCATGTTTATCTTCTATTTTTTATTTTATTTTTTAAACAAAAATTTAATTAAAAAATTATATTAGAGTAGACAGATGACACATTTTATTACGTAAAAGCTTATTTAAATACTATTAAAATTTAAAAATATTAAATAAAATTTACTAAATATTTTTAATAATTTTTTTAAAAAATAATTTAATTTTTAATAAAATAATGAAATTAGAAAAATATTTTTATCTCCGCACATTTAAGTCCTTTTTGTATTTTCAGGACCTAATCGTTAATTGGGATAGTTGAAAATAAAATATTTTGCTTCATTCTGTAATAAATATTTTTAGTCCTATTCATGAAAATCCGGGCCTTAATCACTTGTCATTATAAATTCCTTTCATTGTACATTATTTACTAATTTATTTGTTTTATCTTTTGAAAAATAAAAAAAGATATTTAAATATTTTCTAAAAATAATTTTTTTATTTTAAATTAATCTTTCTTACTTATTAATTTTTAGCAATTTTTATTAAGTTTTAATTTTGGTTCAAATATTATTTTTTGATTTCTGTTAAATTTAGATATAGTCGATTAATATTCTCATAAATAAATATTTTTTATTTAATTATAAATTTTAATTAAATTATTACATCAATTTATTTAATAAATATATTTTTTGAATAATTTAATTTGTACATATTTTAAAATTACAGAAATTAAAAAAGCAAAAATGCTAAAAAAATTTTTATTTAATTTACTAAACTGATTTTTGGTTATTTTTTAGAATAATTTGATCAAAATTAGGACACAAAGGAGACATAGAAATTTTTTAAATTAATTTAAATTTTTAAAAAGATTTTTTATTATTTCTAAATTATAAGAATAAGATTGGGGCACAAAAAAGAACAAAATTTTTTAATAATTCTAGGAATATCAAAATTTCTAGAATTTTGATATTTCTGGTATTAAATAAAAAAATAAAATTTTGATTTTGTGACAGAAGACATTAATATAATCATATCACACTATAATGTCATTATGCTAATGATCAGTTAAAAATAATGACCCATCCAATACTTATTTTTAAAATGGTCAACTTATTTTTAAAAAATCTGTACATTAACAAGAAAGTGTACCTTATAATTCGTAGTGAGGGCTGACTGTAAATGTATAATAACGAAAATTGTGAAAATTTTGGGTTACAAAAAACTTTTTAAAAATAATTTTACTTAATTTTTAAATTTATTAAAATTTAAGAAATAAACCTAAAAAAAATTTTTTATTAATTAATTTTTCCTTAAAGATTTTCATAAAAAAGTACTTAAAGCTTGCGTAAAACTTTTAATATTTTAAGCACAATTTTTTATTTTAATTCTCATTACTTTGCACTTTTAATTTATTGCGAAGTGTGATAAATACTTAAATATAAAAAATATAAAAAAAAATATTTTTTAAATTTTTCTTTAAGCCAAAATATTAAACGAATTTAAATATTAAGTAGAGATTTAACGTATTTTTATGTTTCCGGAGGATTCTCATAAAAAGCTTTGATATAAATAAATATTTAATCTTATATTACTTTATAACGAAATTCAGAAAAATAAATTTGAAAATATTTTTTATATTTTAACTAAAAAATAATAATTTGTTAATAAATATCTTAGTAACATATTTCTTTGATCCACAAAACATGCAACAAAAAATTATTTTGTATACATTGATGGAATATAACCGGTACCAAATGTTTTCGTTTATGGCCGGTTTTCGGCCCCCTGTTTTAGGTCCCGGTTAATTCGCAGAAAATACTGATTAACGGTTTCGGTTCGGTTAACTCTCCGCCAACAACCCTAGAATAAACCATAAAGAGATTCGACTATTTTTGTTTTTATTCATTTAAAATAATTTTTTCACTTGTTAATTTTATAAGAATAAATTTGTGAAAAATGCAACAAAAAAGTATTTTCTCAAAAAACTTTAAAAAATTTTAACTTTACATATATTGTCATTCCTAGTATTTTATAAAACTTTAAAATTAAATTTTGTATTTTAACATGAAATATTTATTTGTTAGAATATTAAATAGTGCATTAAAAAATAATTTTTCTCACAAAAAAATATTTATTTTACAGAATTAATTATAATTTTTTTATTTTTGTTTTGTGCATTTAGTAACTTCTTTTTTTCGTTTGTACACTTAACAATAAAAAGAAATATATTAAATTTTGGAAAATATTTCTAAAAAATGTTTTTAAATAAATAAATAATTTAATCAAAATTTTTATTTAAAATTAAAAATAACCATTTTATAAAATAACCATATTTTTAAAAATAACCATAGATTTATTATACAGTGCTCCACATAACTATACTTCCACTTTCGAAAAAATTATTTCCAACATTAGGAAAAATCCATAAAAATTCCAGCAAACTTATATACTTATATTATATCTATAGGTGGTCGAAAATATTTTTCAAAGAGGCTTACCCCTGTTTTACGTTGATTTTCGGGGTATCAGGATCTCGTCTTAGGATAAAGATATTGGCCTAGTTTCTTTTTATTTTTTTATAATATAAGTATATAAGTTTGCTGGAATTTTTATGGATTTTTCTTAATGTTGGAAATAATTTTTTCGGAAGTGGAAGTATAGTTATGTGGAGGAGTTTTCCGACAAAATATTTATAACTCTAGTAATTTTAAGCCAAAATTAAAAATTCATTTTTTATTAGTCTTTTAATTAACTGAGGACAATATTTAAACAATAATTTTAAAAAATTTTGGGGTCTAAATTGGAAAAAACACTAAAATAGGGGTGGAAGTATAGTTATGTGGAGCACTGTATACCATAATTGGCAATAAAATAAGAACTTTTTTTAAGTTGTTTGAACTAAAATTAGAAAGAAAACGTGTATAATTAATTAAATAAATAAATTATTTTTAAGAATTTTAATTTTTATTTGAGTTACATATATTTTATTATGTAATTAGAGCAACGTATTCTTTAATATTTTAAAATTTAATTAAACAAAATTAAACAAAATTAAACAAAATTTTCCAAAATTAAAATATTCTTTTTTTTCTTTTTTCACAAAAATAATATATGAAAAATTAGATATTTAATTAAAAAAATTATTTTATATCTTTATTTAACGTAATTAATATGCCACTCCTTTATTACTTCATTCTTGATTTATTTAAAAATATTATTATTATTAAATTATTTATTTATATCAAAAATAAATACAAAAACCACCCACATACATACACAATCACAAAACACAAATTTTATTTTTATTAAAAAAATTATTATTTTTTGCACAAGAACTGTGCACCTGCTTCCATTTCCGTTTATTTTTAATTGAGAATATATTTTAGGAAAAAGAGAGGATTTAATTAGGAAAGAGTTTATAATTAAAAATACCGGATTTTCGTCAAACGAAGGAAATAAAAATATTTTTTTTATTTTTAAGGGTCATATATACTTTAAAAAATAATTTTTAAATGTAAATAAAAAAAAAAAGGAAATTAAAATAAAATATTAAAATGATGTTATTTTTGTAAAAATAAAGCAAAAAATATTAATTCTTGATTCAAATTAATATTATTCTGATAAATTCCACTCCATAACAGAGGTCGATCTGAATGCCGATTTCAACTTCAGATTTCCGAAAATTTAGGCTGATTTCCAAGTTCCAACTTCTGAGACATTTCCGATTTCCGACAGTTCCGATTCCGGCACCTTCGTCATTCCGATTGACCTCTGCTCCATAACGACACATTTAGATGTTGAAATTAAATTTAAAAAAAATTTTATTTTATCAAAATTTTATAAATAAAGGGTAATTAAATCCGTTTAAAAAATATCCTCAATTCTCATACACTTCTTTTTAACATTTTTT